TCTGCACAAGCCCAACATGCCACCATGCACAACATACTACTGCTGCCGTTCACCTGTCGCCGTCCTTCCACGTCTACCTGTCCATGACACATGCTGCCACTTGATGCGGCAACATCTGGGAACAACACGGACACAGGGAGTACCCCCGTACCCATACGCACAACCTCTCATTCCTCCCTTGTCAAACACAAATGATGTAACATGCAAGAAATGATGAACTCTGTCTATACTTACAAGTATGTTCCACGCTGCCTACAAATGGGAGAGGTAGCCATACCTCCTGCCTACACACGGACGAGAGAAGTGAACACACCCACTGCATTTGACACACACCCACATGTCGGTGATGAAACCTCATCAACCACACGCCTCTATCGGCGACCACGTCATCAGGTGGCAATGATGAGAAATGTTCTCCCGTGCCCTTCTCACATTTAACGACATGAAATTCCACAACATAACATATATGAGACACACAAGACAGCTACCAAACTGATCTTTTGAGCCTGTCACCCGAGAGTTGTCCCTATATGCTGTCTAGGAAATCGTAGACANTCTATCGGCGACCACGTCATCAGGAGGCAATGATGAGAAATGTTCTCCCGTGCCCTTCTCACATTTAACGACATGAAATTCCACAACATAACATATATGAGACACACAAGACAGCTACGAAACTGGTCTTTTGAGCCTGTCACCCGAGAGTTGTCCCTATATGCTGTCTAGGAAATCGTAGACATACAGGTAGTTTTCTCTGACCCTATGATTCCATTGTTCATCTGTCTCTGTCTCTTTTCTATGATAGAGATGGCACATCAGCCGCACATACTCCGCACATATGCATACCAAACTGACAATATGTTTGTAAACTGAATAAGATTGCATGTCCTACAACTAACAGGGTGCGACACACAAAACGCCCGACTACCCAACAGTACCCAACACCTTTCGTCTGCACCTTCCCAACATAACATATATGAGACACACAAGACAGCTACCAAACTGATTTGTTGAGCCTGTTACCCACAGGGGAGATGTC